TGAGAGTTTTGGGAGGAAAATTGCCCCCGCCGCGGGACTACCTCAAGATCAAAAGTTGCATGGTGGGTTCTTATTCTGGCAACTGGTCTTCAATTGAATCATTAAAATTCACCTTTTCAGCATACTTCTAGCTGTGTTTATTAATGTGAATTGTATTACGACAAGTGGTGGTGAAACTCGTTGGCAGCTATTCAACCAGTGCAGTAAAGCAATGTTGCAAACCTATCTAGGTCATATTAACACTCGAGGAGAGTCATCTCGCCTTTGCCTCAGTGAGTCACCTCTTACTTCATCACTCTCATCTTTTTAACACTTTCAAATCCACTAAAATACTAATTAGGTACTGTCAGGTGGCCTGTACGGCTAACATTCCTTCTACTAGCTCAAACTTAGTGTCATATGTGACCATTTATTAGATTGAGAGGAAAACCATAAAGTGCAGTCCTTAGTGGAGGTGGAGCCCCGCGATGGATACCACTGCGAAAGATGTTTCGTGGGTTTTGTGCCCATTTTTGGCTTCCCTGTCAAAAATCGTTAACGTCAACAGGGCTGCAAATAGCGATAGACATTTCCCTAGCGATTCTTCTTTTCATTAGGATGTTACATGAGAAAAACCTTTTGCTTTCTCGAAAGCAATGAGAAAAGCTGGATCAGATGAGTCACACTGAGGTATGCCCCTCGGACAGCTTCCCACTGCCCATGATTTTCATAATGGAGCAAGTTCGAGTAAATATTAGAAGAGCTAGATCGGAGCTGTCAAAGGACAAAATTTCAAAACTTGCAACTTTTAATAGCAGTAACATCTTACTCTTACTTTCATGACTCGTTGCTTCCGTTCACCCCATTCGTTATTCTTTTCCATGTGTCGTGAAAGCAATCCGTTTCCTGTTTGCCTATATCTGCTCTTTGTAGCCAGAAATCGTTTTCGGCCACGTTGGCGGCTTTTGTGGTGTTTTTCTAGCGTTCAGGTTGAATGCCGACATCCAGACTCGGCGACGACGACCTCGAACCCCTCTCAGACACCACTCATAAGGGGTGACCGTTCACTTTTCCATCGGTCAAACAATCGAGTTGGACGCTTAGCTAAACAAAGCGTGTGAACGCAACACTGACCGGGCTAACTAGAAGGGTGCTAGTAAATCAGGCCAAGTCCAAGTCATGCCCAATGTTAATAACTTTGACAAAATCCATACAATAATGATAGTACCTTGAACGCAGATGGCGCCTAAGAGGTAATAATAGTCACTGAAAAATGCCAGAACAACTTAAGTAACGGATTCATCATCTCTGACACCTATGTAATGCAAAACCGTGCGTTGAGTGGTTTAGTGTACCTGTCCCAATTCTTTGACATAACACGGGCTTACATTGAGAGTTATATTGAATAAAGTGCGAGCATAAAGGGTTAATCTGTGCACTCCCGAAAGTGTAGTACGGTGAAGAATTATATGGGACCGGGACTGCCGCGAACGGAATAGAAGGAGCAGAAAAACCCATCAGCCCATTCCTTCTAAGCTCATATCTATGTGATGCATGAACTAGCATTAATCAGAATAACAAAGAATACTAAGTACCTAATAATTTTAATTTTCAGGGCTAAGTGGAGTTGGGGGAGTGGGGTCACTATACAGTGCCCTCCAATAAGGCCAAGAGAAAAAAATAAATAAATATATCAATGATAATATAAAAATATAAAAAATAAAATCGACTCATTCAAAAATATTTCTGGCAGCAAGTACCGGTATAGCTGGGAAGTACTTGTAAGGTGATTCACATTTCCGCCTGCAGTGGCCCACGAATGTTACGCAGCCCACACAAGTGCCCTCCACTATTACGATCCAGGATATGAATGAGTGCCCCATTTCGAGTTATTGTTATTAAACTTCGTTCTCATCTTATTTTCTGCGAACAAGGTTTCTCGTGGTGACCCAGGACTGCTGTTTCTTGATAGCTTTAGCATTATTTCGGCGCAGAGAGCTCTTCTCACAAAGTTGATGTACCATAACGTTTACTTTTAGACTTGATTTTGTTCAGAGATTGTATAGTGTAATAATTGACATGCCCTACGGAAAAGGTTTTATATAAAGATAAGGGCGACTCATCGACCAGGATTTGATCGCGGACCTGCTTCGCGTGGTAAGCGTGCACTTGCGACTACACAATGGAAGTAGAATGCGTGCCGCATCCCAAAAGGGATTGATCAACGGCAAATGCTTTATCCTTTATGCTTTATAAGAATGAGGATCTATATAAGGAGCGTAGAGGAGCATTCCCAAAAGTAATTACCTCGAGCTTGACTCATCCAAAAATTACGAAAATACTATTTTCAAAATATTTTCAAGACCAAGTGCACACTAAGTTATGTCCTGGCAGAGTATGGCTGTACAGTTTGAGCAATCGGAGTCAGTAAGTAGCGGTTCGATAGAGCAATGGAACTTTCTGTTGTTCTCATGTTGGGAGGCTCTTCCTAAAGCTGTGACCAGATTCCTTCCAGGAGGCTTTCACAATTTAGTGGAAACTCAAACCAGTGATCTGCTCTAGTAATGCTGGCCAGCGTCAACTAACTTCCAAGGTGCACAAAAAGTGGAAAATTTGTTGAATAAAAGCAAAAAGAGAGCGGGGACTCCCGTTTTACCTTTTTAGATCGTTTCTGCATCAGACATGATTGAATCGGAGAAGTTATTACTAGTAACGTTCGAGTTTGCTTCAATATGATGGCATCTTAACACGTTCTAGAAAGCGATGCAACATTATTCTTTACAGCCGATTTCAATGTGAAAGTTAACCGGTTGGGAATGTTTCAACTTCAACACGCTCAATCCAGAAAGTATGTGTGCTTCAATCGGCGGAAACGAGTAACTGTACGGGTGAGTGAACTCGGCCTTTCATTCGATCTTTCCGCCTATGAGTTCCTTATCATTGGATTTATCAACACCGTATACGCGCTACGGTATCTCCTAATCCAACGGACGGTTGGCGGACTGCGGGAGCCGGTTGTGGATAATCCGCCAAGAAAAGACCTCGACATATATGCAACCCGTTAATTACACGCGCGTATAACTGCCCGAAAATATTAGCGTAGATGTGGTTATTATAGACGAGAAAAACAACACATTAAAGTGGTACAAGTAGTACTGAAGAAGACGACGAAGAACGTCGTGGAGAAGGCCGACAACAACGATAGCGATCCAACAGCACGCGACGTGTGCCCGCGTTTTTTCCGACCGGCAATTTCACAACGTCGTCCTGGGCGCAGCCCAATTCACGAAGCACATGCACGCACACAATGATCATGTCTGAGTAAACCGCTTGAGAATGCAAACTCAAATTCATATGTAACCTGCTTATTAACACATTTGCCACAGCATGACGCGCATGCGCGTCAGGATAGGCATGGTTTTGCCCGAGTTACTTCATATCTTTATGTTGGAAAGTTGTCCTTCTACGTAGTTGTATCCAGAAAATATAATATATATCCATAACCATTAAGGAAATTACTGGAAGAGTAATGTTCTTCTTCTTCTTCTCCCTAGCGTTAGTCCCGCGCAGTCGCAGGGTCCGCTTGGAAGAGTAATGTTGGTTTGGGGAAAATGTAAAAAGGGTGAGCAACGAGCTGTCGTCAATGTGATAAATACAGTGCTGGTCAAAAAAAGGAGACATTTTGCCCACATTATCGAACTTTTCGTCGCACAAAGTGCCGATGTTAATGAAAGTTTTACGGCAAAGTATTCCTAAGGTGTTACTCCGCAAACAGAAGCAGGCTC